CGTCCTAAAAGAAGAAAAAAATTTGCCGGGCTCAAACTCGCAAAGGAATGGCTCCACCCGGGCGCGCTGCGGCCGCACGTCTACCTTCGTCATAGTGCCACGACGTGCGGCCTAGATTTAGCCCACGCGCCTCTGCTCGCAAACACTCACCCATTGAATTGTCACTGCCCGTGAGTGCGAGATAGGGCTAGCCGCAGGCAGCTAGCCTCTGAGGAGAGCGTCCATAGACACCTCACATGATCCCACACACGGTCTCGTCCGTGCCTCGCCGGCCGGCGAGATTGCTGGAGGTAGAGCAAGACTGCTCTAGCCTCGCATGTCACTTCCTGTTGTCTGTTGTTTGTTGTGCCCTTGTTTGTTCTTCTGGTGCCTTGGAGTGCTGGGGGGGGGCGACAGGGAGGATGTGGCCCTGAGTTATGTGTACGCCTACTCAGGGTGTGAGAGAGAGATTTTTTGTTTGTCAGGGTGTGTGGCAGCCACCTCCAAGGTGACCAAGGCGGTGAGGGTGGTCAAAGCTTTGACAGATCCTTTCGCCCAGCCTGTGGATAGCAATCCTCGACCGACTATCTGGAAGGCCGCAGGTGCGGCGTGTACGGCTACGCGGCCTACGGGTGGCACGGCGGCAAGCGAGGGCCAAGCGGCTGGGGGCGCGGGCACGCGCGAGAGGAGCGAGCGCGCCCGGTGCGTCGGTCGTGACGTCGCTCGCGAAGGGCGGGGTGGCCGGCTCCTCAGTTAGCGCCAACACCGCGAGCGCCATTATTTTGTTCCGTGTCGCAATCTCAATATGGTTGGCTTCTGAGCTCCCCGGTCCTGGATGTGAGGCTACTAACCGCACTCCAAGTGCTCCAAGGTTGGCGACATATTCAAGGCCATTCTTTCGATTTTGCCCTGGGGGGCCAACGGAGGCGGGCCAAGGAGCAAGCGCTTCGGCGTTCGGGTCAGCTTTGACAAGGTTTTCAGGTTTCAGATCAGTATTGACATGGCACACATCCACACGAGAGGTCAGCGGCGCGTCGCGGCGCTCTCTCGCAGGCTGCTTTTGGTGTTTTCGAGCTTTGTTTTTGTTTTGGGACTATCTACGGCGTGTCACGACTGCGTACAGCAGGGGGCGCCCGACACCGGGCGGCTCGAGAAGCGTGTGAGGCGGGCGGGTTCCCACTCACCCCGTCCCCGATACGTAGAGTGGTTTTTCAGATCAAAAAAAAAAGAAACGGCCCCAACGCGACGAACGAGGTGTGGGGGGTAGGTCTAGGTGGGATTTGGGGGATGCCCCACCGAGCCCAGTGCCCAAGCTCGTCGCTGAGAAAATTACCTTACCTAGACCTTATATCTTATTGCAATAGCTCGTCGCTGTGGTCCCCCTCGCCCCTGCGCCCCTGCGGCCTCCGGCACTCAGACTCACGATCACGCCATCCGGGCCTGCCGCGAGCCCTTGAACTCCTTGGTCGCCTGCCGCTTCTTCTTCTTCTCCTTCTTCGGCCGCCGCTCCTCCTCCTCCTCCTCCTCCTCGCCCGCGTCCGCAGCAGCCACCGCGCCGCAGTAGCGCCACGAGGCAGCGCACGTCGCCCCCCCGCCAACCACCAGCGTGCTGCCGAGGGCCGCAAAGCAAACCTCCACGGCGGCGGGCGGCGCAGCCAGCCTGGCGACGCTTCGCACGGCGGCCGCGTCCCTCGCGCGCGGCAGACGCCGCACCTGTTCACGGCTTGCGGCTGTGAAGAGACGCCGTTCGCAACACGCGACCCACCGCTGTGCGGGAGGAGGCTGAGGGCGGAGAGGGGAGGGCGATGGAGGGGAGGGCGGCGGCGAGGCGAGCGATGGCGGTGGGCAGGCGATGGCGATGCACGCGGCGGAGGCAAGCGGTGGCGGCGGGGAGAGCGCACATCGTAGACCTCGACGCCACGGGGCGACTCTCCGGAGGCCGCGACTGCGAGGTGTCCCGCCATGCCGCCCCCCTCGTCGAGATGCACCTATTCACAGCTCGACGCCGTGAAGAGCCGCCGTTCACCCCGCCCCGCCCGCCCCCCGTCCCGAGGCATTACCCACGCGGCGCTGCCCTCGCAGCTCACCGACGCCGCAGGCCCCCGCTCGCCGTTGCACCGCACGTCCCAGAGCGAGACGGCGCCGTCGGAGCCGGCGGCGGCCAGGCGCCAGAACGGGCTGTAGCTGACTGGCCTCGAGGGCGCGATTGCCTCCGCCGCTGCCGGCGCCCCTGCACCCTCACCCGCTGCAGAGCCCGCGAGCCGCATCGCTCCCATGCTCGCGGCCAAGCCAGCCCCACGCGACGCCGCGCCTCGCCAGCTGCAAGGCACCGCACCTAAGCATGCGCACCACAGGGTTCGGGTACCGTGGGGTAGGGGAGGGAGGGGTTCGGGTACCGTGGGGTAGGGGAGGGTGGGGTTCGGGTACCGTGGGGTAGGGGAGGGAGGGGTTCGGGTACCGTGGGGTAGGGGAGGGTGGGGTTCGGGTACCGTGGGGTAGGGGAGGGAGGGGTTCGGGTACCGTGGGGTAGGGGAGGGTGGGTTCGGGTACCGTGGGGTAGGGGAGGGAGGGGTTCGGGTACCGTGGGGTAGGGGAGGGTGGGTTCGGGTACCGTGGGGTAGGGGAGGGTGGGTTCGGGTACCGCGGGGTAGGGGAGGGCGAGCAGCTTGGGGCGGGAGGACGGTGCAGGGCACCCCGAGCACCGCGTGTGAGGACGAGGGCGATGGGCGGTAAAGAGGGCGGCCGCACACAGCAGCACACAGCGACACACAGCGACACACAGCAGCACACAGCGACACACAGCGACACACAGCAGCACACAGCGACACACAGCGACACACAGGCCTCGAGATACGGGGAGATAGGGGGGAGATGTGGAACCCGGCTTCCGCATCTAGGCCTCGAGATGCGGGGGGTATGGGCGAGGGCTGCTCCGCATCTAGAGCACTGCACCCGCATCCGGCCAGGAGGCCTGCCCGCTCCACGCCGTGGCCGCCACCTCGACGTCGAGCAGCGCCGCCGCCCCGCCCGCCGCGCAAAACACGCCGCCCGGAGGGCCGGCGGCGAGGTGGAGCGGGCAGCCTGTTCACAGCTGGAGCCGTGAAGAGGCGCCGCTCACCCAGCCACCGCAGCAGCGACGAGAAGGCGGAGCCGCCAGTGTCTCCACCGACCGGCGGGGCGGGGAGACGCGCGCGCGGCAGCGGCGCGGTCGGCCACGGCTCCACCTGGACATGCCATGGACGTGTCATGGACGTGTCGTGGGACGGTGTGATGGACGTGTCCTGCCGTCGGCCGCCACCTGGACTAGCGATGCGGAGAGGAGGCCGTCGAGCGACGCGCAGAGAGCGAGGACAGAACCGCCGTTCGCGCCCGGCAGCAGAGCGACGCTGCGCACCCCCGCTTCCCCGCCTGCTCACACCGCCGGCCGTGACGAGGGGCTTCCCACGGCGACGCTGCGCACGCCCGCTTCCCCGCCTGCTCACACCGCCGCCCGTGACGAGGGGCTTCCCACGGCGACGCTGCGCACGCCCGCTCCCCCGCCTGCTCACACTGCCGGCCGTGAGGAGGGGCTTCCCACGGCGACGCTGCGCACGCCCGCTCCCCCGCCAGGCGAGCGAGAGACGCGGGGGGCGCCAAACTCGGCGTCGGTGTTGTACGCGTGCAGCGCGCCTGAGAGAAGCAGACTGCCAGCTGGGAGGGATGTGTCACGCGAGGCCGTCCAGGAGCCAGCGGAAGGGACTGCAGCGCGCCGGCGGCATCGCCCGCCACAAAGATCGGGCCGCAAGCGGCGCACGCCTAGGATGGGAGCAGGGCTCTTCATGCTTCAAGTCGAGGGCCCGCGCCGCCGCGACGCCTGGCCGCGGTCCCTCGTGCCAGGGTGTGTGCATGTGAGCATGTGAACATGTCAGTCTGATCTGGTTGCTGGTGCATGCGGTGCCGTGGTGGTGTTCGGGCGAACAACGTCCCCCTCAGGGCTTGAATGCAGGTGCGCTACGAGCCATGAGTAATACAGAGGCGTCCAGGGTCCTTTGGCAGACTACTGCAGAGGAGAAGAGAGGAGAAGGCACGCCTGAAGAGCACGCGCACGCACAGTCGGGACTCTGACTCGGCGGCCATGCACCTCACACAGCGGGCGGCAGGCGTAGCAGGCACCGTCAGCTCGATCCGCTGCTGGTGCGCCTGACGACCGCAGCTGCAGGCGGTGAAGGCGGGAGGCCCTTCCATCCCGTCAGCTCGAACTCGCTGCTTGTGCGCCGCGAGGCGCCGGCCGGTGGTAGCGCCCCAGAGGCGAACGAGCCCGCCTGAGAGGGCTGTGCCGAGATGTCGCCGAGATGTGCTGAGGTACGCCGAGATGCGCCGAGATGCGCCCAGATGCGCCGAGATGCGCCGAGATGCGCCCAGATGTGCCGAGATGCGCCGAGATGCGCCCAGATGGAGGTACCGTCGACGAGATGCGCCGAGATGCGCCGAGATGCGCCGAGATGTGCCGAGATGTGCCGAGATGTGCCGAGATGGGCCGAGATGCGCCGAGATGGGCGGAGATGGGCGGAGAGCTCCTGCGTGCGTGCTCACGCCACACTCGCCAGACAGACAGACGGCCGTCATGCTCGGCAGGGGCAGCTCCTACTTGCGATTGATTCATCGTGGTAAGTTGCGATCGATTAGCCGTCGTGCCCGGCAGCGGCAAGGCTCCTTTGGCCGGCCTGCGGCGGCGTGCCTGCGGCGTGGAGACGAGGGGCGTTCCACACGGGAGGAGTGCCATCGCATCTCGGCTGCATCTCGGCTCTTCATTGTTCATCGTTCACTACTCCTTTCTCCAGGGCGGTACAGGCTCGTCTTCCCTTCCTGCTTCACCGGCCGGCTCTCCTGTCCTTGGCTCACATCTCATCTCTCATCGGCTCAGATCTCGGCCTACATCTCGCCGCCACTCATCAAGCGAGAGCTCGCTCAGGTAGACGCGCTCGCGCTCGCTCAGCCCGTCCGCCGCAAACACCTCGCCGCCCTCGCCGCCCTCGCCGCCCTCGCCGCCCTCGCCGCCCTCGCCAAAGATCTCGGCGTGCAGCGCGTGGACTGCCGCTGCGGCGGCCGCCGCAGCCTCCTCGCTCTCCTCCTCGCCCTCCTCCTCGGGCGCACCGACGAGCCGCGCCGCGCGGCCGTCGCGTCCTTCCCGCCAGGCGCGGCCCTTTTTCGCCGCGCCGGCTGCGGCAGCGTCGTCGGAGCCGGTGGCGCCGGCAGCAGCGCCGAGCGCCGCGTTGGGGAAGAAGAAGGCGACGATCTCGTCCTCGGTCTTTGCGCCGCTCGCGAGCTCGTCGGTGGCCCGGTCGAGATCGGCCTCGGTGGCCTTGCCTCGCGCGATCGCGTCTGCAAACAGCGCGTCGACCCGCGACTCTTTCCTGGCTCGGCCTTCCTCCCGGGCGGCTTTCTCGTACTCGGCTGCCGCCTCGAGCGCCAGCGCCTCCGCCTCCGCCTCCCAGTCGTCGTCCTTTCGGTTCTTCTTCTTTGGCATCGCGCGTGTGCGTCCGGGCTGGAACGCTAGACGAAACGGCTCGCCGGCAGGTCCCGCGGCAGCACCTGGGCGGCCATCTAAAAGCGTAGAAAAAGTATTTTTCTGGATACCTTTGTCCTCCCATCCCTCGCGAGCGCGGTCAGGCTGGGCACAAGCCGCGGGCGGCGCGGGCGCGGCGGCCGCGGCCGCGGCGGCGGCGGCGGCGAGGTCAAGAGCAACAAGAAGGACTGGGCGAGCGTCGCCCGCGGAGCCGCACGCTCCCCCTACGACGGCGGTCCACGCCTCGAGTCCAACGAGCCCTCGCTATACGAGGGGAGCGACGAGGAGCTCTAGGAACGGCCGCCGAGCCCTTCCCGCAGCGCATCCCTAGCAGCGCAGCGGGCAGCGCGGCTCGCGCAGCGCGCGCGATCGCGCAAGCAGCGCGCGCGAGCGAGCGAGCGAGCACACACACACACACACACACACACACACACACACACACACACACACACACACACACACACACACACACACACACACACACACACACACACACTCCTACCTCCCCAGAAATCCCGAGGAGGCGCACAGCGCCTAGATATGTCTTGTGTTGCTGTGTGCTGCACGCCCTGCGAGCGGGGCGGGGTGCGCACTGACCCTCTGTGTTCGTGTGCGTCGCCCATCTCTCCCTGGAGATGACTGCTCTATTTATTTATTTATCCCATCCCTCCCTTGGGTTGTCTGTTTTGGTTCTTTCTTTCTTTTTCTCCTTTGGCCGCGAGGATTGGTGGACGCGATCCACGCAGAGGGCGGTGTATGCGGCCGATGTAGTCCGCCCCCCCGCTCCTCCCCATCAGTAGTAAGATTTTTGTGGTCCCGCGCAAACAACACGCAGCCACGACAACCTCACACGGAGCCCATGTTTGAGGCTCCGCCGTCATGAGTCGCGGCCACGAGCTGCAGCAGCAGAGACGAGAGACACAGAGAGCCTACTTGGCCCAGGGCGGGCGCGCCATCTCGGTGCCCGAGAGGACCGCGGCGGCACCCGTCAGGGCGATCAGCGGCAGCTGCGTCTGGACGATCTCCGCGAAGAGATCGAGGGAGGCGTCGCCGGCGACGAGCGCGGCGAGGTTGGCGAGGACGACGCCGGCCGCGGAGGAGGTGAGGACGTTGAGAGCGAGCTGGCGCTGCTTGGCTTGCACGAAGTCCGCGAACTCAGCCGGAATCTCAGACATGGAGAGCACTCCATCGACATTCCAGCGCGAGCCCGCGATACACCCTCATTGATACTCGGCGCCCGTGCGATAGACGCAGACAGCGCCGAAGATGCCCGAAGCCAGCGCCGTGTAAGCAAGGCCGGTCGTCGCGTACGAGAAGGCAGTCGCGAGCCCAATGCCCACGCCAGCCACCTTGCGCACGGTCGCCTCAGTCTCGGTGATCATTTTGCCTGACTCCTTCGCCTGCAGCTGCGCTGCGGTCACACTCGAGCCGGCGCCAGCCGTCGGCACGACGACGCCAGTCAGCGTGTCCGCCTCCAGCAGCGCCTTTAGCTTGCCACTGCGAGCAGCCTGCTGCGAGTCGTCGTTGCCGCCAATGTGCTGCCCTTTGACGAAGACGTTGGGCACCGTCCGCTGCTGCGTCAGATCGAGCAGCGCCGCCTGGAGCTCGTCGCCATCGGCACGCTGATCCAGCTCGATGGCCGTGTACGGCTGCGCCATGTCGTCGAACAGCGCCTTCGTCTTGGCGCAGTACGGGCACCATGATTTGCTGTAGATGACCACATCCTCCGCCTGAGTGGTCTGCTGGATGCTCTCCGAGAGAGGTGATGCGACGCTGCACACCGGTGTGCCGCACCGCGGCAGCACAGGCCGAGCGTGCATTGCCACACGGAGCGCGTGGCTACCGGCCGCGAGGACGGCCAGCAGCAGCGCGCGCATGGTGCACGCCTCTGCCAGACGAGTCCAGCCGAGCTCTGCGTCTTCGCGGAAAATCGTCTTTGGAAAATTCTCCTGACACGTGGAAATGACAAGGGAGAGAACGACGAGAGTGGGAAGACCGCGAGGTGGCATGAAGGTTGCAGCGAGAATCGGAGAGAGACTGCGAAGAGAGATAGGAAGAGGCGGACTCCCTAGGGTGGGCGACGGCTAGCGCACCACACACCTCTCCTTAAAATCCCTGTGTGGTGGCGGCGTGCCGTCCTCCCATCCCTCCCTTGGGTTGTCTGTTTTCTTTCTTTCTTTCTTACGTGGCGCGCTGTGCTGGGCGCGTTTTGGATTCTCGCCATCCGGTTGGCCTCGACTCGTTATTTCGGACGGAATTGTCACGCGACCTACGACACTCAGCCTACTCCATGCTCCGGAAGAGCTCGATCGTCGACTCGAGCTCCGGTCCACCTCCTCGCGCGTGCGTGTTGTAAATGTAGAGGGAGGCGCGCGCCGAGCCGTCGTAGGCGCTGCGGCCCCTCCGCACGAGCTCGGCGTGCAGCGGCTGCGTGCAGTGGTGGCCCGATCGGATGGCGATGCCCTCCTGGTCGAGGAAGGTCGCGAGGTCGGTGGGGTGCAGCCCGTCGACGTTGAAGGCGCAGAGCGCCGCGCGCCCGCCGCCCGTGGCCTCGTCTGACTTGGGGCCGTAGATCGAGCGGCACGCCCGCCGCGCCTGCGAACAGCCACCTGTGGGCGGTCACCGGGGTGGCGGTCAAGCTCGCGACGGGGTGAATCTGGTGCGTCTAGTATCACTGGTGGGCTGGGTGTGCAGCAGCATCGCTCAAAAAGAGGCAAAAAACTCGACAGCTACTTTTGAGTGTCAGCTCTCTCGACGCACCGTCCTCGGGCCCCTCGAAAAGCTGGCTGGTGGTCGCGCGCGGCGCGTCGGCGCGGCTCCAACTGGTTCGGCACCTCGGCTGGGTCCATCGGCACGAGGCCAGCCCCGTCGGGGAGCCCCGCGAGCGTATGTAGCCCCACCCCACATACGCTTGACGCCCCGCCCCAGATCGCGCTGTTTGGTAGGAAAAGACGAGGCGCCAAGGGGGGGGGGGGGGGTCAAGTATGGTACCCTAGAATGTAGAGCGCTCTACACACTCTACATCCTCTACACCCTCCCTCTCAGCATGAGTGTGTGTCCCTTCTTGTTTCATTCATATTAACAACGAAGGCTAGGTAGCTCAAAAAAATTAGAGCGCCGCGGCGCGTTGATCGCGGCACTAACCCCGCGGCGGCGCCACGCGGCGGGACGCGGCGCAGCGTCGTCGCCAAAACAAATGCGTGCGTCGCGGCGCGGCCGCGGCAGCATCAGCATCCACATCCACATCCACGTCACGTCCACGTCCACGTCTCGTCTTTGTCGCGGGCGCGTTCGCTGCGCGAAGGCTAGCGCGAAGGGCGACTCGAACCCGGAGCCAGCCGGCGAGGCGACAAAAACGCACGCGGCACGACGCTCACTTCCTTGAGATGCTCGGCAGCAAAACGTACGACGCTCACTTCCTTGAGATGCTCTTGATCTGGGTGGCTCTGCATATACTGCCGGGCGGGGCGGAGACGCGCGACGGAGTGGTGGAGGCGGCGGGGCGGCGGACGACGTCTAGTACCCGTGACTGCAAGAGCCTGAGATATGGGGAGATATGGGGAGATATGGGGAGATTTGGGGAGATATGGGGAGATTATCATGCGCTCGCACAGCCCGCAAGAGCCTAGTAGCTACCTAGAGCCTGAGATATGGGGAGATATGGGGAGATATGGGGAGATATGGGGAGATATTGGGAGATATCATGCGCTCGCACAGCCCGCAAGAGGGCTCGTTGTGCGAGTACGTATGGGACACGATGTCTCAAATATGAGGGGTTTTGACTCCTACCGGCTCCTGACGCTATTCCTGGCAGCTCTTATGACCAGGATCAGTAGTGCTATGATACAGGGTGCCCATGCTAGCGCAGGAGCTGCCACACTCGCCCGGACCGTCCCCTTCTGGGGCCGGTTCCGCAGCCCGCGAGAGCCGACAGCGGGGCCGTGCCGCGGGTGCCTACTGCCGAGTGCCACAAACACTGCGCCGTCCCGCCACCACCTACAGGCTGTCTTGTGTGATGGTTGGGATGTCCAAACGCCACCATCTTGGCTCTTGCGACCTCAAACCCGCGAGCTGTATGGGTGGTCCTGACGTCGACAGACGCCCAATGACCACGGTGAAGCTGAGCCGGAACGCGTCGACAAGTCTCGCCTGAGCCCGTGGCGGTCGCCGGCTGGGTCGCTGTGCACGGACCGGTACCTCAGGCGTCACCTCCGCAGCCTCAGGTCTCACACTCCATCACCTCCGACGGGACGCCGTCGGTGGCACGCTCAGCGGCGAGTTTGTTGCAGCCCCACAGCGAGCACGGCGTCGAGCCTACTCACTCCAGTTGGTTCGGCACACTCGGTGGGGTCCACCGAGTGTGCCGAACGCGCGAGCGGTGCGTCCTGGCAGCCCGCGCTGGCTGCGGAGCTGCAACAAACTCGAGTACGCTTTTTGGGACATTTTCGACGCTTTTGTCCCATATACTCGCACAACATGCCAGAGCCTAGTAGCTCTACCATACCTCCCCAGTAGCGCCCAGGGGCGCCCGCGGCTCGTGGGGGCGCGCCCGAGCGTGCGGGAGCTCCATCTGACCTCTCTATTTTCCCTAAAAGCCGTGGTATCAAAACACTCAGGGGGGCGTCGGTTACCTCTAGACGGGGTCGTGAGCGCGACCGCTCCAAATGGGAACGCGTAGTCCGTCTCGGCGCGACAGGGGAAGCGCGCCGTCGGTGCCATCAGCAAAGTCTGATGAGCGAGAGAGGCGCGCACACACGTTCACCCCTCAGCTAAGAGAACACAGCGCCATTACGAGTGTGAAGCGCGAAAGCTCCCTCCTAGAGTTTGTGCTGGAGGATCGCGACGAGGCGTCGGTGAACTGAAAAGTCCAACCAGTGTGAAGCGCAACCGTTCCGCGTCCTTCGCGTTGCGTCATGTCTCCTCGAAGGCGGAGAAGGCCTCGGCAATGTTACACTGTCTCCTCGAAGGCGGAGAAGGCCTCGGCAAGGTTACACTGTCTCCTCGAAGGCGGAGAAGGCCTCGGCAAGGTTACACTGTCTCCTCGAAGGCGGAGAAGGCCTCGGCAAGGTTACACTGTCTCCTCGAACGCGGAGAAGGCGGTTGTAGACGCACGGCTTGTTGCCGCCATCCATCAAATCACGCACACTTGCGAGTCGCAGTCGCATGCGAACGACTCCACACACGACGTGGAGTAGCACCCGGAGCCCACAGTTTGATTGTTGCAGTTGGGAGTGGCGGTCCCGCAGCGGACGAGCCCGGTCCCGACAGCCTCAGAGCCGCACGGGAAGCATTCGCACGGCGTCGCTTCGGTGCATCCGCCCCATTTGTACTTCTCGAACGATTCGACGGCGGTGCACATTTGGGTCTCTTCGCAGTAGGCAAAAGACCCGTCGGTGCAAGTGTAGCCGTTTTTGCCAATGGTCCCGGTGTTGGGGGTGTCGCAGTTGCAGGTCACGGGGTTGTAGACGCACGGCTTGTGGCCGCCATAGACACCCGAGGTTGCGCCCGGGCGTTCGTTCCAGTAGACCTTCTTGAATGATCCCTTGGGTTTGCCCCCATCCGCGTATTTGGTGTCATACCATTCGAAGCAGCCTACATTCGCGGTGGATGAGCGTCATTTGCATGGGCACAGAGCGCGCGAGTGTGAGGGGTGAAGGGCGCAACCGTGAATCCAGTTGGCGTCGTCGCTCAGTACCCCAACAAATGTGTGCCCTGCGGCGGATTTGCGGGCGGGTGGTGAGCTGCCAATGGACAACGCAGTGACGTGCTCAGGTGGCTAAGCCTAGGAAGACACCATTCTGAATGGCAAGGCGCTCGCACTCGTTAGCGTCCAGAATGTCGCGGTAATTAACCGGGCACGTGACGCCAGGAGAATAGGTCTCGAGGATAAGGAGGAGGAGAAGTTCCGTCCCCGACCAGGCTTGCGAGATGCACCTACGACAACCGCCCGGCGTCAGGGGGTGTCTCGGAAGTGCGGGTCACGGGGTTGTCGGCGCACGGCTTGTGGCCGCCATAGACGCCCGATGTTGCGCCTGGACGGTTGTTGTAGTAGACGTTGCGGCTGGACCCTTTCGGGTTTCCCGGGCTGGGGTACCAGTTGAAGCAGCCGTGGATCCAGTTCGTGTCGTCGTTCAGTTCACCTTTCCACACGCCCCCTGCGGCGAAGAGGGTGGGCGGGCGCGTGTGAGCGTCAATGCATACTCACCGAGGGAAGAAAATACTGTGCTAGCATCGAAAGGCACCATTCTGCTCGGCGAGGAGCTTGCACTCGCGTGCGTCCTGAACATCCCGGTATTCAGCCGGGCACGTGACGTCAGGAGAGTAGGAGAGGAGGATTGCATATGGAGCCCCTGCCGCAGTCGTAACGGTCACGGCCCCGATCGACTCCGAGATACAAGGCTTGTTGCCGCCGTATTCACCCGTCGCTGCGCCCGGCCGATTGTTGAAGTAAACCCTCTGCCACGTCCCCGGAGTCGCCGGAGTTGTGGTATCGTACCACTCGAAGCAGCCGTCTATCCTGCGAGGGCGGGGGGGCGCGGGTAAGCAGCGTGTAAGTGTGGACTGCGAGGCACTGTTACTAGGGAGGCACCAGTTTGCGTCGTTGTACAGCTGCCCAACCCATTCGTATCCTGCGAGAGCGAGGGGGTAGCGGGTAAAGCAGCGTGTACGCAGTGGACGGCGAGGCAATGACTGTTACGAGGGAGGCACCATTCTGAATGGCGAGGCGCTCGCACTCGTTTGCGTCACGAACATCGCGGTATCCAAACGGGCACGTGACGTCAGGATAGGCGAGGAGCGTAACGGCGTTCACAACCTCCGCATTGGCTGGACAAATGGAGCAAATCGGGTAGAACTCTCCGTCGTCACCGAGGAGGGTCTCGCCGCTTTCCGCGCGGTCGATTTCCGTGCAGTTGGCTCCGCTGTCCCTCGGCACACAGCACGTACAGGTCAGCTCGGCGCCGCAGGCAATGGCGTCGTCGCACTTGGGGATGGAATGGAAGGTGTAGTCGGAAGCAGCACAGCAGGTGGACGGTGACTTCCACCACCCAGGGTAGTCTGCGTGGCACCCATCTTTGTTGTGCGTGTACTGAAAGTAAGCCCCCGATCCGGGGGGGTCTTGGAAATGTTGGTCGATTGTCTCCTTGGAAAACGTCGTCGAGTAGAGCTTGCATTCGCCACCAGAGAAAGTCTTGTTGTCGTACGCGTTGAACCAGAACCCGTGGCATCTGAAGGGGGGTTGAGGGGGGGCTTCTAGTTAACTGAGAGAGCCAGCAGGAGTGGCCGGGATACGGGGCAGGGGCGCGTAACTGGTCCCCAGTCTCCACTGGCCACTGGAGGCATTTGCTGTTGCACTCTGCTTTTGTCAGGTACTTGAAGGCGATCAAGAGCGGACCTGTCTCGGTGTTGTCCATCGCTTCCCCAATAGTATCGTATTTGGCGCACAAGTAGATGCTCTTTCCGCCGCCTTTGGCTCCTTGGTTGAAGTTGCCATTTGCGCCGCCCCAGCCTTCGACGATCGTGTAGTCTTTCGGGCAGCTCTTTGACTCGTAGAACTTCAAAGAAACGAGTTTAGCACCTTCCGTGGACTTCGCCTGGCACAGGTAGAGGTAGTCACCGCCCACACCATTGTTCAGGTCCGCGTTCCAATCGGTCGCCTTGTCGGTCGCACGACCACCGATGACATTTTTGTACTTGTCCGAAATTTCGCGGTCACAGTAAGTCTTTTTGCCTTCGACCACTTTGAGGTCGACGATCCCCTCCACGTTTTCGTCGGCATCCCCAGTGTCCTCCACGTTCTTGGTCGTGTGATAGCAGAGGTACATCTTGTCCTTCGACTTGGCATGTTTGG